GGACACTGCGGGGCGCTGTGTACAGTGTCAGTGGTCGGTGATGAGTCCGGTACAGCGGGGACACTGCAGGGCGCTGTGTACATTGTCAGTGATCGGTGATGAGTCTGGTACAGCGCGGACACTACAGGGCGCTGTGTACATTGTCAGTGATTGGCGATGAGTCCGGTAGAGGCGAACACTACAGGGCGCTGTGTACATTGTCAGTGATTGGCGATGAGTCCTATATAGCGGGGACACTACAGGGCGCTGTGTACATTGTCAGTGATCGGCGATGAGTCTGGTACAGCGGGGACACTAAAGGCAGGGCCGACCTTAGGCCTTTAGGCGCCCTGTGCAAGACAGCTTTACAGCGCCCCTCTGTGGCCACACCCCCAGTAACCACACCCATTTCCCCCCAATATCCGAACCTTTTAAAGACTCCTATTTTGTTAAGCCGCAAAGAAACATATTAAAAAGTATGCTAAAAATAAAACTTTTATTCTAAGGTATTAAACTTGTAGGCACAATAGAAGTATTCTTATCAAATAAAACAACAGAAGGTAAACAATAAATGTCAAACTAAAATAGTCTATAAAAATAAAGTGTCAGGTTGTCATGCCGACACACTTTATTCAAGTAAGTATATCTAGAAAAGTTAAAGTAGAAAACAGAACACAAAACCCGGACTACGTGTAAAATGAATGAATTACTTTATGTCCGAAATATACGAGAAATGTATTCAGGCGCATAATAATTTGTCTGTGAATGTGTGCCACCATCTTGGAGGCAGGGAGCATGACGTTACATGACGCCATGCATGCGTGGCGTGAGGTGACATCACACACCAATATTGGCCCCACCATCTTGCTGTATACCTAGATATACACCAAGATGGCGGCACCCAACACGTGCGGTGTTATATGACGTCATGCTCCCCGCCTCCAGAACACGCCAGTGGCTGAATCCAAAATAGCATAAAAATTTGTTGTTTGATGAAACGAATGAAACGTTTTTAGTTTTCGTTCATTTCATCTGAAATGAATTATTAGCCTTCGCACACGTCTTATAATATGTGTGTGTGGGGGTACAGCGGGGACACTACAGGGCGCTGTGTACAGTGTCAGTGATTGGCAATGAGTGCGTTACAGGGGAACACTACAGGGTGCTGTGTACAGTGTCAGTGATTGGCAATGAGTGCGGTACAGGGGAACACTACAGAGCGACGTGTACAGTGTCAGTGATTAGCAATGAGTCCGGTACAAGGGAACACTACAGAGCGCTGTGTACAGTGTCAGTAATGAGTCCAATAAAGTGGGGGCAGCGACTGCGGTGTCTGTCTGACGTGCACGCTCACGGCTGTGTGCATTCAGCTCCCCCCCCCGACGATGATCAGGTAAGTTTGTACCTTTTTGGTAACTGTTTTATTTAAAACAAAATTTGATTTGCATATGACTACTGCTTGCTAACAATAGATATATGCAAAAAAAGTTCATTCTACTTTAAAGCTGAACCCTTTAAATGCATTGTAACAATCTCATGCAGCGGCGGCTCTCTAATTAGGCGGTCGCCTAAGGCCTCACGCTCACAAGGGCCTCGCGACCGCCTAATTGGCCTAACACATTCTAGGAGACCTTAGCCCTGTCACATCCAAGAGTGCATCGCAGCCGCCGAACATCTCCTCTCATCATGGGATGTTTGGCGGCTGCGATGCACGCTTGGATGTGACAGAGCTCCTAATGCTAAGGACTCCTGTCACCACCGAAGGGCGCTGTCCAGGGGGGGGCGGGAGAAATGTTAGCATTGTCCCCCGCAGATAACTCTCCCCGCTGCAGACTCACAGACTGTTGGAGATTTCTCCTTACGGGCTGTAATCAGCTGCAGTGATCTGTGTCAGAGGAGACAGACAGCCGATTACAGACTGTAAGGAGAAATCCCCGACAGTCTGCATGTTTCCTTCCCCCCATGCTGTCTACTCACCCCTCCGCACTGCGCTTCTGCCAATAGCCAATAACAAGCTTTCTCCATCCGGTCCCTCCTCTGCTGATTGACAGCAGGATGTGGGTGGGTGCAATATAGCCAGCCTGTTATTGGCTATTGCAATTTGAAATATCCAGTAGCAGGCTGGCTGTTGCGCCCAGCAATAAAGTAAAAAATAAATAAAGTTAAACTAAAAATAAAAATACGAAAAAAAGAAAAAAAGTTTATAAAAATAAAGTTAAATAAAGTAAAATTAAAAAATTCTAAAAAAAGGGTTAAAAAATGTAATAATGTAAAAATAAAAATGAAAAAAAAACAACAGAAAAACAAACTAGAATTAAATATAAAAAAAAAAGTTAACGTTTAAAAAATAAATAAAAAGCACAGCCTCCTGAGACCCGCAGCCTCCTAAAACCCCACACAGCCATCAATTTCCATTATGGTTGTGAGTGGGGGCCTCATGTTTAGGTTTCGCCTAAGGCCTCGCAAAGTCTAGAGCCGCCTCTGATCATATGGCTATGGATTTCTTTAAAGGAGAACTCCAGGTAAAGAAAAAAGTTACCCTTGCAGTGGGGTTACCCCCACACTGCAAAGGTTAAGCCCTCGCTTTGTCTAGGGGCCTCAAATGAAGCTGTTTTACGTACTCGATCCTCAGTCCCTACTGTGGTTAGCTCTTTTTTCCTCCTCCGCTCCAGCTATATAACGTCCCTCGCCGCCCTCATGTCTAATGCAGTTCTATGGAACCGTCATTCCACCTAATGATATCAGTGGCCCTTAGACAGCCAGAGCCCAGGGAAGAAGAGGCTTTGGGAACCAGTCTAGCAGTCTGGAGGGGTGGTACGGAGGAGCAGGTGACTAATACAGTTTTATTTTCGTCCCCTAGACAAACCAAGCACTTAAACCTTGCAGCGTGGGGGTAGTCCCACTGCAAGGGTATGTTTTTTAGTCTGAGTTATTCTTTAAACATGACTGGCTTACCTCTACACAGGCTCCTCCCCCCTTCAGTCTATCATGAATGCTGCTGCTAGACTCATTCACCTAACCAACCGCTCAGTTTCTGCAACCCCCCTCTGCCAATCCCTGCCCGGACTTCAAATAGCCCAAAGGATAAAATTCAAAATATTAACAATCACTTACAAAGCCATCCACAACTCTGCCCCCGGCTATATCTCAAACCTTGTCTCAAAGAATCACCCTAACCGTCCCCTCCACTCTTCAAAAGACCTCCTGCTTTCCAGCTCCCTTGTCAACTCCTCCCATACTCGCCTCCAGGACTTCACTAGAGTCTTTCTCATCCTCTGGAACTCTTTACCCCAACCTGTCCGCCTGTTTCCCACTCTGAATACCTTTAGGCAGTCCCTTAAGACTCATCTCTTCAGGGAAGTTTATCCCACCTCAACCCAAACGCTCAACCATCACGTTCTCAAACAATGTATCCCCTACACAGCTAATTCCTCATGTATCTCTTGCTGCTCCCTTTTAGAATGTAAGCCCTCAGGGGCAGGGCCCTCCTTACCATCTTGTCTTGATTTGTTTTGTGATTGTAATATCTTCCTTATATTGTAAAGCGGCGCGCAAACTGTTGGCGCTATATAAATACTGTATAATAATGACTGGACTCTAGGCTAGCCTTTCAATTTTACAAACTATAGGGCTAAATATTTATCTACCTGAAGAGAACCTGAGACAGTTTTTTTTCAATTATTTATTTCTAATTAAACTTTTTTAAATTGATTTATCCAATTGAATATGCTTTCCATAGGCTTGGTTTGCTTATAGCCCGTGTTTTTCTCTGCTTCCATCTTAATTGCCGATTCCATTTCCTCTTTCAGAACGCAGTAGGCCTGCTGAGCTCGAGAAATCTCTTTCTCGACGTTAAAGTGGACCATCTGTCGGCTCATGAGGGGCACAACCAGGTTAAAGTCATTCACCTTCTTATTTAGCTTTGTTATGTTTTCCCTCAAATTCTCACAGGTTTCCATCCATTCCTTTTCCTTTGAATATGTCATAAGCTCTCCGATTTTTTTACGAGAGGCTACCAGCTCGCTTCGAAGCTGATCGATCGTATCTCGTATTTCCTTTTGCAGAACGATCCATTCAGGCTGATAACCATTATCTATCAGGATCCGGTTGAGGTTGTGAGTCATCGGGTCGATATGTGGATAGGTGGAAAACTTATTGATGGGCTTTCCTTTGCCGCCGAGGTTGTCAAAGTCTCCCTTTGCCATGGACTCTTGGATTAGGTCCTCCACCAAACGTTCTATGGCTTGAGTTATTTTCACCTTTTTACTCTGCCTGATGTCCTTTGCCACCATTGAGTTCTCGGCGTACTCACGTTCAAATTTTTTCTTTCGAAAATCCAAAACTTGGTCAGTTGCTCGGTCTACACGAAACTGGGCGTACTGCCTCTGCCGTTGGCTAGGGGTGCCGTACCCAACTCCTTCATAGCTCAAGTATTGCCTGTGCTGGGGTACCTTATACTCCGAGGTCTTCTCCTCATCATCTTCAAGGGATTGTGCTTTTTTTGACTCTTGAGCCAAGTGTGTCAGGAGGTCTCTGTAGGCTTCATCAATCTGCATAAACATGTTGCCGTCTGCAGTGATGGCACCGCTATCTGGATGATATTTCTTGGCTAACTTCCTATAGGAATGTCTGACTTCATCTTCAGAGCACCCTTCTGAAACACCCAGAAGTCCATAACAGTCCCTGATGCTCCTTTTGGGCTGGTAAGTTGAATGCATACGGAAGGTTGGGCTCCATGAACATACAGAGAGTGGGTACTTTATATTTTGAGGCAAAAAGACCCGTGCAAGTTTCATGTTGGTAGTTCTGTTCTTATATAAACCTAAAATAATTTAAAAAAAAAGAGAACAAAATTAGATTTGGGCCAACAAAACCATCAAAATTGCAAATTGGTTGGTGTGAGCCACTGTACACAAAAGTAAGTGGAAGGAGCAAAGTCCTCCAATGAGAGAAATGTCATCAACACCAAACTGACTGCCTTTTTTATATAGTATGGAATGGACTCACTTTAGTCTAGTATTCCTATTTTATTTTGGCATAAAAATAAGAGAACCTGTCATAGTGCTGCAGGAAAGACTTGCTACCAAGAGTAATATGAAGTCTACATCATCAAGGTACGCTATATGGCCACAGACACTCCTCCTAAATATTGAGTTCAGGTATTTCCAGTGAAGGGTAATGTTAATAATACAGCATACAACGACATTTTAGACCAGGAGTAGACAAACGCCAGAGCTCCTTCTGTGTTAAAACTGCAAATTCTATCATGCACCTGCCTCCGGGAATCATGCTTGTTGCTGTAAGAGTCTTTGAATGCCTAATGGGATTTGTAGTTGCACCACAGCTGTAGTTTGCCAACCTTCTAGTGACAGTTTGAAAAAGGTTCTTCATGACATTGTCCCTGTGCACAAAGTCAGCAACATAAAGACATGGTTTGATGTGTGTGAAGTGTGAGTTTAGTGTGGAGGAACTTGAAGGAGTTGCACAGAGCCCTGACCTCAACCCCAGTGAACACATTAAGCCCTCATTCACACAAGTAGCAGCCGTCCCATACAGATCCGTGCTGCGTGCACGGCTCCCGTGAATGACAGGTGTTGCGTGTGATTTGTACGCAGCAGCCTGTTCTTCTCTATGGGAGTGCGCGGCCGTACGCTCATCCGAAATGCACGTCCGTGCGGGTGTGGGTGTCCCTGCTCGGACGCACGGATAGCCTACGGCCGCATATTCCCATAGAGAAGAACAGGCGGCTGCATACAATCACACGCAGCACCTGTTCTTCCTTGAGCGGCCGTGCACGCAGCACGGATCTGTACGGGCCGGCTGTTACTCGTCTGAATGAGGGCTAGGGATGAATTGTGAGCCAGGTCTCCTCATCCATCATCAATACTTGACCTCACATAATGAACAATATCCTCTGACCTTTTCTAGAACCAAATGAATAATTGTTGGTATTTAAAAGGTGATGCAGACTTATTGTTATTGTTCACCACATAGGCCTAATAGGGTGATTACAGTCAGTGCACTTTGCACAGTGCTCAGGATCCTAATATCACATACATTTGCTGGTCAGAGATTTTTGATCATTTAACCCTTTCATGAATATGAGTTTTTTGAACCTTGAGGTCTCATTCACACAGATATGCACAGCCATAGATTGTGCATGTCCATGAAGAAACCTGCGCCTAGAAGGGACAGGTGCTGTGGGTAGCCACGCCTGTACAACTCAGTGACAGGATGCGGCTGTACACAGACCAATCTTTATCTGCATATTAATCCTAATGGTTGGCATTACTAGTGGCATAGCAGGGGCATGTCCTTTGCCTGTATACTTCATGCTATAATGTGTCCCTCTTTCCCATCTCAGAAGGTTGGCAGGTAAGTGCACATTGATGCCGAGCTTGTACATCCAAACAGATATGCATGCATGCCCTTGGACGCAGGCAGTCTGCATCCAAGAGAGGGCACCTATATCTACCCTGTTTCCACGAAAATAAGACCTACCCCGAAAATAAGACCTTGTACTATTTTTGGGAATTGCTAAAATATAATACCTACCCCGAAAATAAGACCTAGTTGTCACCATTCCCAGGGCCGGTGGTGGCATAAGGGGGAACTTGAATAAGTTGAAACCTCGCGCCACTACTCCAATAAAGTTAAGCAGCAGCTGAAATCTGTGTGGTCAGATATATAGTATAAACATTTTTTTTAGGTTCAATATATTTTTATTTCAATAAACATACTTATACAAACTTTATAAAAAAAAACGGGGAAAAATACATTTAAGCATCATAACTGTTATCTCCCAAATAACATTACTATGTATCTCTCCGTATATTAGTCTTCAACTTTATCTTACATTCATCCAGGCAATATTCTAGCTTTGACAGTGTTCGTTATCTCATCTTCCATTTCTTCTCCTATACACTGATCTAACATTTATTCTACTATCACATCATGTTCTAATTAGAGAGGGGGGAACATGCAGGGGTGTATCTACCACAAGGCAAACTAGGCATTTGCCTAGGGCGGCACATTCCAGGGGGGCAGCAGAAAACACCAACCCAAACCAATTAGGCACACAAGGCCAGACTTGCCTTTGGGCATGCTGGGCACTTGCCCAGTGGGCAGAGGCTGAGCGGCACAGAATCAGGCAGTGGTGGCTGCCAGTGCCCAATGAGGCAAACCAGGTGTTGCCGCAAGGCCCTAAGAGTGGTTGCCTAATTAGAGAGCTGCCTGGTGCAGGGGGCGGGGGGCAGTGAGTTGCAGTCCGGCTGGCTTTGTACAGGAGGTGGAGAAGAAGCAGCAGGTGGCTCGGGGGCCGGCCTTAGCATGTGATCTGATGGCGGGATGTCCCAGAAGCAGGCTGGGGACTGCAATGTATTCTTTAGATTGAGGGGAGTGCCCGAGTTTAGTCTTGCCTAGGGCAGCACAAAACCAAAATACACCACTGGGAACATGATCACCAAGTGAGTCCGTAGTCCTTTCCATGTTAAAAGGCTCTACCTAGTCCTAGAACTATCTTCCCCTCTTAACCCTTTCATTATTCTTCACTCTCCCCTGCCTAAGTGTTCTCTCCTATATGTGAAATCTACTCAAAAATAATGTTTCCCATTTAACCCCTTATCCATCCCCCTTACCTTCCAACTAACTAAATTTAGAAAAAACCTAAGAAGATTGTAACCTTTTTCCCGATTTCTCTTCTGAAATACTTTTAACCTTCCCTGGTGATAGCTTTGTGTTGGTTTCCCTTCCGTGTCCTCTATCCGCGGTCAACCCCCATTTATTTAACAACAACAAAAAATATATACTTCTCACCCTACGTGTATTCTATCCTATATATGTGTTCACTTTATAGTATAAAATGAATAGTAAAAGCCGCGCTGTGTGAATGAAACTGCAAAAGTGTCAGATATAGTAGATACTAACCTTGAAATAATGTGATAAGATGTGTAAACAGTGCAAAACAAATAAGAAACGCATGTATATAACATGCACCTCAGTGTAAATGCATTGCTACAAAATATCCATAATGAAAAATCAAATACAATAGATGTTAACTGTGAAACAATGTGATGCAATGTGCAAAGAATAACAACTAGAAAAAAACGCGTGTGTATAACATGCACTTCAGTGAAAATAAGGGGGAACTTGAAGAGCCGTGGGAAAGGCGGCAGAGAATCAGCGGTGCCAACGAAGCCAGGGCTAGAGGAAGCGAGGCGGCAGCGGAGGGAGCAGAGCCACACAAGCCAATGCTTCCTCTATAGCGCCTGCTCCTGTCACAGGCGGAGTGATACCAAATGCATTCCGCCTGTGAGGAATCGATAGTGAAAGCGCGCTTCGCTCATTCTGGATACCAAATTGCTCTTGGAAAGGTACGGCACCCCGATTGCCCTGATCACCCTATTCTTAACTTTTACATTTTGGCTTATTTAACTTGGATTTGCATTAACTTTGGATTGTTGTACATTAAAAAAACCTACCCCGAAAATAAGACCTACCCCGAAAATAAGACCTAGTGTGTTTTTTGAGCCAAAAAAAATATAAGACAGTGTCTTATTTTCGGGGAAACACGGTATATGGGTGTGCAAGCTCTGGTCGGCGTGTAGCCACATGCAACCTAAATGCCCAGATGTCTGGACCAGGTTTATCAGCATTAGTTAACTTGACAATAGTTCTATAAGGCCTCATTCACACTGAGCGATTTATCGCAGCGATATGGCTCATATTTCCACTCGATATCGCTCTATGTAGCTTCTCCAATCCATTTCAATGGAGCTGTTCACATCTCGCCGCTCAATATCGCTTGTAGCTCATCGCTGTAGCTTGTCGCTCCTACGCTGACCCTTTTTTCGAGCGATTTCGCTCCTGATTGCATACAGCCCAATAGGAAAAAGTCGCGCAATATGGCACATATAAAATCGCGCGGAAAATTGCACGATTTTCATGTCGCTCAGCGTGAATGGGGCCTAACTAATTTTTGCATTTGCGTCCGAGCACACATGCAGTTTGCGCATTCCAAGTCCTCAGCTTCAATGGTTAACTAGCGTTCCCATGGCAAGGGGCATTTTACATTTCATTTTGCAGTCACAAAGGGGTTAAAATGACAAGTATGAAACGATCAGGCACATTTCAGAGGGTTCGCAATGAAAGGTCACAACCAATGACAGGTCAGATCCAGGTGTGACCAGCAGAGGCTGCAGAAGATCTCTATAATTATCTGCAATTACAGAGTTACAAATTGCTGCATTTTAAACTCTTACCGTGTGGCAGCAAAAACCTGCTGTGTCCCCCTTCCCTGTAAGCAAGCTGACATGTTTGTTGTGCAGCAAGAGCTTCTGGGAAACGGAGTTCCGTATTGTAATGTCACTGCACCCTCTGCTGTTCTTGTTATAAAAATGCATCTTGCGCTTGCTTTCGATGCTGCTTGATGATCAGGTCGTGATGAAAAGTGTCAAAAAGAAAATGAATGAATTGAATACGTAAAATGAAACTGCACTTACTATTCTAATGTTCAAAAATGAATTTGATTGGTGGCCATGGGCAACACAGATAGTTCCCATTTAAAGGGCTGACAAATTCGTAGGTGCTCCTTCATTGCTGGCACATTCCATTTAGAAACATTCTTCATTTTAAATATATCCTTCCATCCAAACCTATATCAAATGATTTCTTAAAGTTGAAGTAAAGCTTCACAAAAAACACAATGCTGAATGCCAGGCTTTCTATATCAGAAGAGACGGTGTAAGTCACTTCTGCTATTAACCCCTTCGTGACTGACGACGTACAGTGTACGTCGCCAGCATCGGGGCTGTTTAAACAGACTCCCGGCGACTTTTGCTGCCAGGAGTCTGTTTAAACTTGTAGAGCCGACTGTCGGCTTTACAACAGAAGCGATTCTGGCTACTTACCTGTCGCCAGATCGCTTCTGTGTCCCAAAGAAGGGGCCGCCCCCCCCACACCCCCGCCGGGCTCCGTTGCCCCTCCTACGGGCCCGAGACCGGCGTCCTTGGTGTCCACGGGGAGCTGGGGAGGAGGTCGACGAACTTCCGTTCATCGATCCCCTCCCCGTTCTATGGGACCGGGAGCGATGCAGATTGCATCACTTCCGGTCCCTGGGCTGTCAGTTCTGGGCTCCTGCAGCCCAGCTATAAGCTATTGAAGTGCGATCTGCACTTCAATAGCTTATTTCCAGTGTAAAGGTGACACTGGGGGTCTTTTGGACCCCCAGCATCACCTTAAAGAGGACCTGTCACCACCATCTGCTATTACATGGGGGGGCTTGTAAGCCCCCCCATGTGATAGCAGTCAAAGTAAAAAAAAACAGTTTTTAAAATCAAAATAAATAAATCTAATAATAATAAAAAAAATGTAAAAGTCCCCCGCCCCCGCAAGCACGCGCGTCGCCACGTAAACACGCATCGGGTGCGCCTACGTATGAAAACGACGAACGCGCTACACATGTTGGGTATCGCCGCGCATGCCGGAGTGAGAGCAATAATTCTAGGGCCAGTATTTTGTTGTATCTCTAAATTCATGACCTGTGGGGGCTTTTAAAGCGTCTTCTGTGGACTTTTTGGTGTACTGCAGTTTTTCGCCGTTTCGCGGACGCACGCAATTTGTAAACTGGGCATGCTGGGTATCGTTTTACTTGTTGTAACCTCCTCTTTTATATTTCATTTAAAAAATGGGTGTTTTTGGGGCATTTAATTAAATTTATCACTAAATTTTGGTGTTAAATAAGGAGTTGCGCTAATATTGCGCAACATAAAAATTTGCAACTACCACCATTATATTGTATAGGGTCTTGGCATTCAGAAAATATATAATGTTGGGGGGTTTCAAGTAATTTTCAGGCCTAAAATGTGGAATATAACATGGGTGCAAAAAAAAATGAAAAAAAGGCCTCAGTCATGAAGGGGTTAAAGCTTCTCTCTACCTTTTTTCTGTATGCTGAGCCGTGCATGTGCAGCTCAGTGCACAGTACAGGCATGCCAAGATTAACTAACGCGCATGCGCATGTGCTTCAGTTACATCAGGGCCCAGCCAATCAAGCGACTGAACACTCTAAACCTAGAAGAAGAGCGGGGAGAGGATGGAAGTGCCGGCAAGGGAGAAGAGCACAGCGCTGGAGGGCATTGCATTGGCAGGTATGTCTTCCATAATGTGCTAATAAACTGTGCATACTAGCAAATTACGGCTAAAAGATTCAGGGGGCTTTTTTTTTTTTTTTTATAATTGCCAATAATTCTGCTTTAACTTCTTCATGATTGGGGATATACTTTCCCTTAGATTACCAAAGTGAGGCTGACCTTAAAGTGTATGCAAAGACAAAACTTTTTTTAGTCATTTTGGATGTTGTAGGGAATGTCAGGGCCGCAAATATAATGAAGTGGCCCCATGGGATTGTGTCACCCCCCTGCACCCACTTAATTTAATTGATTTATTAATTTAATCTAACAATAGTTTTAGTCACAGTAAGGTACAGCTTTCTGGAATTTTCCGTGGGCTGTTTCTGGTTTCCTATTTCGTCTGTTTCAGGTTACCCTTACTAACTGTTACTTCAATTCTGCCTGGAGATGGCTGTCGCTAGGAAGATCTCCAAGTTTTGGAGGGAAAAGTAAATAACCAATCAGCTGTGGGACTCACCTTTAAATGTTTACAGTCAGAAGCTCTCCTCAGCAGTGATCTTCAACACAACTTGCCCCGCCCTCCCTTGTCGCGGCTATCCTTTTTTGGGGGTATTGTCGTCCACATATGTGGGTGGACAGTGTTTAATGTTATATTGGACTGTGTGATAAGTATGGCTCGAGTCTGGGTGACTGAGCTTCTTTATGTTAAAAGTTATAACTGGTTTTAAAAGTTCAATTGTTTATATATTAGTGTTGATTTTAAATAAAGAATTTATATTTTGCTTTTAACCCCAATAAAGGGCCAATATTTTCCACTCATACCGTTTGTATAGTCTCCATTTATTCTGCTATATATTTTAATGTATTTATAGGTTGTGGGTGCTATGGGGTCTATAATCCCATGCATAAAACCACTATTGGTTATTTATTTATTTTTTGTTGCTGTCTGTGTCCCTTTCTAAACACACAACACAGGTGATTTGTGGATGCTGATCTGTCATTACAACTGGGCGGAGCCAGCCATGAGATTACGGCTTGCTCCGCCAAGCTGTCATTTGCGAGACGTTCGCCCCGCTTCGGCTGTCACTTCAGCTCAGTTGAGCTGAAGCATATGCCTTCGGCTCGGCTAAGCTGCTCGCCCGCCTTCGGCTGCTGTATGGGCTATAGTTACCAGCACCGTACAGCAGCCCTTCGGTCCGACTGAACCGAAGGGCTCCGGCAACCGAAGCTAGCCAAAGGATCATCCGAAGCTTCGGCTGATCCTTCGGCTAGCTTTGTGAATAACCCTCTATATCTTACAGATAATAAGTTGGAATGTGTAGGTTTTATTTAAGATATGATGACAGAAATGATTAAAATACACATCTAAGGGGTAGATACAATCCCATGACAGTAATAGAAGTTCATTGAATGATTTTACATGATTTCTGGAATCACACTTAACAACTGGAATGCAATGGTTTTCTAGAAGTAAAATGGGCGGTACTGGAACTTCCTGACTTCTACAGCTTCCTTCTAGCACTGGAGGTCAATCCTTGTATTATCTGTATGGAGTACATACCTGTACATTTCAGGACACTACAGAAAGGAATTAAGAAAAATACAATTACACAAACAAATGATACCTACAGACACTTCTTCACCCTCCAGCAATTCTTCCACTCAGGGCCGGATTTCCCACAAGGCCAACCAAGGCTGTGTGTTATTCAAATTCAAATTCAAACTCATTGTTCATGTAGGAGGCCCTAAATAGGAAAAGTGGGAGTCACAGGCTTGGTGCCTCCATAGTCAGGCTGTTCGGCCCCTATGAGAATGGGAGCGAATGGCAGCGAGTGAACTGCCGGAGGTTTGGCTCAGACGATCCAGATGTTGGCTCGGCTGAGTCGAACCGCTTCTTCACTGCGGCTCAGCATAGGAGTGCTCCTTGGTTCCATCTAGTGGTGCAAATGTAAAAGTCAGATGTAAATACATCTGATATATTTTTAAATACACTCTTTCCTGTTATGGGGTGACAACGCTCTGTCCCTATATCCCAGTTGTGCTCCTGCATTGTCACCCTGTCATACTACCCACCC